GACACCCGATCCCCTAAATCTACGTGTCAGTTCGTGAAACCCGATCCCCTAAATCTACGTGTCGGTTCGTGACACTCGATCCCCTAAATCTACGTGTCGGTTCGTGACACCCGATCCCCTAAATCTACGTGTCGATTCGTGACACCCGATCCCCTAATCTCCTTCTATCAATTCATCAAGCCTTCTTTCTTACCAAGGCATCATCAATCTCATTATTTTAGTTCATCACGCCTTCTTTTATACCAAGGCCCCATCATTAACAAAGAGATTAGGGTTTTTTAAGATTTGGGATTCAATAACTTCATCATGCTTATATAATCACAATTATATAATTACATTCATGCAAGCATACAATTAAGCACATAGCAGGGTTTACAATATTATCAATACATATCATTCGCTATTAAGAGTTTACTACGAATATCGTAAGAGAAATCATAACCTACCTCCACCAAAGACTAGTGATCAAGCAAGAATTTCCCAAAGCCTTGTATTTTTCCTCTTCGTTCGTCTCTCTCTATCGATTCTCCTTCTCTCTCTTTCTGTTCTTTTCTTTTTCTTATTCAAACCCTCTTTCTTTTACCCTAATTAGCATATAATTAAGAATAAAATATGGCAATAATAACCCACTAATTTACTCAAGGTTACCTCTTTTAACCCCCAAGTAATTAGACTTATTAACATAAACCCACTAACTTTATAATTAAAGTAGGAATAGTCCAAAACGTCCCTTAAAACGTGTAAAGAAATCCGACCCAGACTGGGATTACGCAACCTGCGACGGCCCGTCGTGCCTGCGACGGTCCGTCCTGCAGGTCGTCGCAAGGCTCAGAGACTCAATTTCCACCAAAGAGTCTGTGACGGTCCGTCACGCCCGTGACTGTCCGTCCTGCCATTCCGTTACGAAGTTCAGAGAGTCGATTTTCAGTACCCAATTTCAGAATTTCTAAGTGTTTTGAAACGAGACCCCTCGACGGTCCGTCGTGCTCATGACGGTCCGTCGTGGGTTCCGTCGTCTCAGCCTATTTTTCCAGAAATAAAATCTGCTGCTCAAAACGACTAAACAGGTCGTTACAGTATCTTTATTCATACGTTGCCATCAAATAAAAAATAAAATTTGGGCTTATTTTTTCAGAACGTGACAACAACAATTGCCAGATAGAATTATTCTGGTGGATCAATTATGTCTCGTATTCTTTGCAGAAAATTGCAGAATGTCGATATTTTTATTGAAATATTTTTGATCTTAAAGAATCTATTTTTCAAAAAAGCGTAGTGTGGAGATCTGAGTTTTTATGTGTATTTGTAATAGTGTTGATTGATTATATATTGGCTTTGTTACTGTTGTCACTTGTTCATGTTATTTTTTGATTGTCACTTCTTGAGTCCTATAGTTGATTTTATACAATCACTTTATGTATATTGATTTCTATTTTGAGTCGCCCGATAATATTTATTTAGGACATGTTTTTAAGCACTGATCCATACTTGTGATTTTCTTCGTGTTATTTTTGTAGAGTGTAGCGAGTGTACCATCAATTTTAACTCGCCCTCAACTCTAGTCAGTCTCCAACACATCAGGTTTCAGAGTGAACTGTTCATTCTAACTCATGTTAAAATTTTCGGTCGTGGCATGATGTCCTTAATTTTCGAGCACAAACTATTTTATTTATTTATTTCTGATTTTTTTGATACTCTTAGACTTGATAATTGAGAATTAGATGTAATGTGATGTCTTTCAAATTTTGAAAAACGATGTTCAATAGACTGTAATGGATTTATATTTCTTACCTTAATAAGATTTGAGTTTCTCATTATGATTGGATTTCATAAGTTGAACAATTAATAATATAAGTTGGGGTTGAATTAGTTGATTTGCCCACCTTAAAGGTTAGGTGAGGATGTCACTCATTACTTGTTTTGATATGTGACAAAAATACTATAAATTACAATAACTAACAATTTAAAATATTAAAAAATATATACATTTTTTGTTTGACTTTAAAAAAAATATCTATGTTACAAAAATTAGGACAAAAAAATACCATACATATTGAACTTGTACTGCCACAAGCCTATATATTTATAAAAGCAAAAATTTGCATAGACATATATGCATAATATGGCTAGAGATGATGTCTGAACAAGCTCATTATTGTTTAAACTCTAAAGATAATATAAGAAATTCTAGATAATTATATACACTAAAAAATTTCCAAGATTTCAAAAAGATAATAAACATTGCAAATATTTTGTAAATAGATATGAAAATATACATATACATAAATGTAATTATAATTATTAATTATGTACTTATACAACTTGTTTGGTTCAACTCTTATATTACTTTTTACTTTTATCACAATTAAATAAAATATTATCGATTTTCAAAATTTAAGATTAAATCAATCTAAGTGAATGTTATTTTTTTATTTATATTTAGGTCGGGCGATATTACAATTTCTTGTGAACACTCTTAGAAGAGTGGGTAAAGAAATTAAACCTAATACGGATTTGCTACTTTATAGCTATACTATTTAAGAGAGAGCTTTCACATCGTAAATTCTTTGTAAATAAGTTTTGTTATTTTTTTAATCAATTGTGAATCGACTGCTTTGTAGAGTTTTCACACAATTTTATGGCTCAATCACTTAGAAGAGTGATATAATTGACAAATGCATAAATGCATATTTCACAAGTTAGACATCACATTCTTTAACAGAAAAAAATTTATTTTATATAAAATATAAAGGAGAATAGAAAATACACCATAAGATCTAATATTTAATCGTAAAAGAATATGGAGGACTAAAAACTCAACAGTTAATCATTAAACAAATAAAAACCAAAGGCCAAAAACGACACAAAGGAAGACACACATACTAAAATAAACTGACTTCACTGAAGATAAAAATTAAATTAAAAAAAATAGATAAATCGTTCTCTAAAGACTCTCAAATAAATGACCCTTTTTTTATCGCAGAAGCCTTTGAATCATTGAGGAACCAATCTATTGTATCAAAATTGTTGGAGGAGTAAAAAACAGATGGTTTGCCAGTCGGGGAATAAGCAACAATAGCAACATGTGATCCTGTTGTAATAGAAAGTTTGCTTCCTCGACTGCACTTGCCGATAGCTGTTGAAAGCTATAATGTGTTTCACTCTAGATGTCAACATCTTCAGTTCAATCTTCTTTCAGCGTATAATCTTAGCTTGTGCCATTACAACAGTTTTTGGGGGGAAAAAGATGGTTTGATAAATTAGGCTTGAGAAACTTAAGGAAGAAATTAAAGTTGCGCAATTTATAGGTGATAATAGTTTTTCTCGTGATTAAGTCAAGTATATAAATGAATTGCTTATTATGTATTTTTCTTTGAGATTTACAATCTTTAAAATACATTTTGACTTCAATTTTGACGGTACATGAGTTATATTTTTTTCATTCAAGTATTTCAAGAGAATTACAATCCTTAAAATACATTTTGACTCTAGCTTTGATGGTACATGACTTAAATTTTTTCCATTGAAGTGTTTCAAGATACAATTCTTAAAGTACATTTTGGCTCCAACTTTGACGGTACATAGGTTACATTTTTTCCATGCAACTGTTTCAAGAGATTCACAATCCTTAAAATACGTTTTGACTCCACTTTGTTGGCACATGGGTTATATTTTTTTTTCCATTAAAGTGTTTTACGAGATTTACAATCCTTATACATTTTGACTCTAATTTTGACGGTACATCAGTTACATTATTTCCATTCAAATGTTTCAACAGATTTACAATCCTTAAAATACGTTTTGATTTCACTTTTGTTGGTACACGAGTTGCATTTTTCTCGCTCAAGTGTTTCAAGAGATTTACAATCCTTAAAATACAATTTGACTCCACTTTTAACGGTACATGAGTTAAATTTTTTTCACTCAAGTGTTTCAAGAGATTTATAATCTTCAAAATACATTTTGATTCCAATTTTGAAGGTACACGAGTTGCATTTTTTTCATTAAAGTGTTATAAGAGATTTATAATTCTTAAAAGGGAAAAAAGACAAATATATCTCCAAACTATCACAAATGGTATATTAATACCCTACGTTATACTTTAAGGTTGTATATTCTCTTACAGTTACTCTTTTAGGTTGTGTATACCTTTAAACTATCGAATGGATATATGGCTTCATCTCAATTATTTACTCGATTTTATTTGTTTATTTACTTACCTAAAATTAAAAGATCCATCCAGTTTTACCTTAAGAAAGCCCTCCGATTCGATATTTATTCCATGAAGCACACGCGTTGACTGAGACGTGTGTGCTTATTTACTCTCCTTATATAGTAAAAATAGTAAAAAAGGAAGAAGTAACTTTTGTGACCAAAAAAAATGTCATTTCTAGGAGATGAATTGATCATCGTTTCGGAAGCAGAAAAATAAATTTTTAAAAATATTTTTCTTTACTAAAATAAATTCCTTAAAAGTATACAAATATAATTTAACATTCTACAAAATTCTAATTCATGGTCTACCGTTTCATATTAAGATTTCAAATTTGTTCAAAAAAAGTACTTTACAGAGTACTAAATTAACATAATCACGGTCTAAAATTTTACATATAATTAACCATTGTTGACAAAGGCGATTCCAGCTATATTTACAGAAGGTCGTATAACTGAATTCAAAGTATACGTAAATACAATTACAGCTTTAATAAATAGCTCACAATTTCAAAGGTACAATATATTCAATAGTAAAGTGTAGACATCTTAAATGTCAGAAAAAATAAATAAGCAGTTATAATTTTTTAAAGAAAACAACCCAGTTTCGAGTTTCTCAATTACCCATCGATAAAATATCAAAATATATACGTACCAAGTCTAATAAAGCAGCTCATATATATCAAACTATATTGCAAACAAGAAAAAATAAACGTTCTGCCAATTCAATATAATAGACTGATTTGATTCCAACTAGAAGTATATATGTAAGTGTTGATAATCACATCTACTCCCCAATTGTCCTTGTATATTTCCAGAAAAAAATGCAGAAAAGTACATGAATATTCACAATTTTAATCCAAGTACAATTCCTAAGTTGGTCAGTTTGAGCAAAATGAGGTTTTTACACTCTCATAGGAGAAGACCTGCGAATCAACTTGTAATCGTGTCCCCTTCTCGTATAGTTATTCACAGTATCCAAAAACATATCAACAGAAAAGATAACAAAGATGTTGGCATCAAGCTTCAAACATAAAACAAAATTCTGAAGCTATCGAGATTTTCACCAAACCATATAAAATGTGGAGAAAGTAGTTTCGTTACTCCAATTCCCCTGTGGGTTTCAACATGAAACACTTCTTTCAACTTCTCATCACATATTACTCGCCTCTCGTCAGACGGATCCTTCAAGGTAAACAAAGAAAACCAGTCAGACCATTACATAATACATAAAGCTGAAACTGGGAATGCAACTTTTGTTTTTCTAGATGCAAAGTTAAGTTTCTTTTTGTTTGATAAGTGACACAAAGTTACGTTTCCTAGTCGCTGAATGGACTCTTGCTTCTCATAATATATATGAAGAAAATAAAACTTGTTTAAACAAATTAGCTAGCAGGATAAAATACTCCCCACTGTCTAAAAAAGGTGCTTTTCTACATGAAGAAAGTCTTCTGATCTTACTCTTCACATAAATAAAGTTGGTGATAGAAGAAACAAAAGGGTTATCAGGCCATACACAAAGAATGTACCTAGGCGATTATGACGTATTTAGCAATCGATTCTCAAGCAACACTCTGAAATTAATTGATTGACAATGTTTTCTAATAAAAAATAGACCACTGGCAAGATAACGAGGAAAAGTACTTCGGGAGAGGACAAATGAGCATGAGTTACATTGTTGTTTCTAATTTTGCAAAATTCTATACTTATGTTTCATTTTATAACAGCGTCCAAGCCAACTTACGAATGCCTCGACTATTTCATTAGGTACATGTTACCTCCACCAGCACAAGGACCCTAAGGGGGGAGGGCTGATTGTATGGGTAGTAGTCACTAGTTTCTTTATATGATTTTAGACAGACTATTTTCAATGGAATTTTTTTATGGAAAGTTAAATTCATAAAAAAATGCAGGGTAAGGCTGCCTACAATAGACCCTTGAGGTCCGGCCATTCCCTAGATCCGCATAGTGTGAGCTTAGAGCACCAGGCTTCATTAACATAGTTTTCTTCCATAACTACATGGGACCGACTACGACTTGGAACCGACTTAGTCCTTCCTGAAATCAGACCTTAGAGGTAATAACAGTAGACACCTGACTGGCTTCATGTGTTTAGAAGATACCAGTAAGCATTACAAGAAAACTATTTTGTGTAGCAAATGAAAGCATTGAACACCTGTCTAAAAGAAGCAACATTCAAGTATGTATCTGTTACCAGCAACATTTAATGTGACTAAAGACAAAAGAAATGAGCACCTACCACAGGTCATAGCGAGAATGACCTAGCTAAAGCAATCTTTAAAGTGAGAAATAAAGGATTGTAATATCTCTAAAAGGGAAAGGCATAAGCTGAGGTTAATCCAGTGCAGAGATAAATTAGAACAGATACCACAAATTAATCACTACCTGTAAGCCATTTTGCTTAATGTATTCCCAAATTCTTTTAACAACAATGGGTCGAGAAATTCACTCTCTCCAGTACCAAGGAAATTAATCAAAAGGCATTAGAAAGCCGGAGTGGAGCATGCATACCAGAGTTCTTCTGCTGTTCCTCTTTCTTTGGCTCATCCAAATCTAATCAAATACACTGTTAACAAATTGCGCACAACATATGGACAAGAATAGAAGTATAGAACTATGAATGAATCTAAATTGTTAGCAACAAAAACAATGTAGGGAGAGATAACAACCCTTTACTATTTTTAATGGTCCATCATGGAGCAGAACTGAAATGAAGTAACAAGAATGAATGCTAAAATGAACATCTAAGAGATTAAAACAAGTCTTTTGGCACAAGGACAGTAGGCAAAAGCAACTTCCGCAACTGGGAGCAAAACATAAAAACATTGACAGAATAATAGTTGAAGCTAAGTTATTACCTTCATCCTCCTCTTGCTTCCGCTGCTTTTTGTTTGCTGTAGAATTTACAGAACAGAAGTTGTTATGTAGAAACTGAATCATAACTCGCAGAGAGGTGAAAAGTAAAAATTAGAAATGCAAGACTTCAAGCATGTCAAGAATTAATCGTTCAATAGGATTTAGTTTTTAAACCCTGAACTAACAAGATGCAACATCAGCTATATTACATGCATAAGATTAATATTTCCTCAAATAGTACTATTGAGTTACATGCTTATATGAGGAAACATCTATCATTCTTCATCCCAGATTACACTCCTGAAATTACTGTTTCCCCACATATTATTATTGACTACAAGCTAGCCTTGAACTGCAACTTAAATGCACAGAATGTCAAATTAAGACCAAGCAGTTACAAAAGAAATAAGGTGGCCACAATTATGACACGAAAACTAGTAGAGCATGTTTACTATTCAGACAGTTAAGGAGTACAGTTACATGGCAGATTAATAAGTCAGCAACATACAAACACAAATCTAAGATTGCAGCCTTTCCAGAAACTATAAGTCAGCAAGACTTTATGAGAACTAAGCATAAGTCTATAACAGCTTAATTAGAAAGCAGCTCTGTGAAAGCGATTAATGTACAAAATTTTCTAAGTGGGAAGAATCAAGTGTCGTAGAAAGTTTTAGAGAAAGTATCAGCAAACCAAGAAAATAGAGAAGGAAAAAGAAAGAACAAAGAGAAGTGTCCTATACCAGCATCAGAATCCAAAGGCCAGATATGCTTTGTCAGGGCCTTGTTCATTGCGAACATGTTTATGGATTCCACACCAAAAAGCTCGCGCAATGTGTCATCACAGTTTATAATCCGCTTATCTGATGGATTTTTCAACTCATTTGCATTTATATACTGCCACATCCTCTTCACCACCTTCATAGAACATTTGTAAGGATTTATTTACTTCATACATGTTAATATTCATGGCAATTGGCAATGGAGACTTTAAACAATTAGAAGAGAGACAGACAGAGAGACGCATGCAGAATTGTGATACCTCTGTCCTTGCTAGTTCAGCTTCCCCAGTAATTTTCTGAAGTTGCGGAGAAAGGCTGCATATTTTGGTAAATCCGCCAGCTTTCCTTTTACCACTTTCATTCTTCTTCCCAGGCCTAATAGGATTGAATGTACCATTACCTCAACTAGTATAGACTAGACTAAAATATAGAGTTCCTTTTAAGAGGCAAATAAGCAAAATAAATTTTCGCATACACAATCATGCAGATTTCATATTTTCTCTCCCACTCAGCAGTCAGCATGATCAGATTAATAACTAATCAAACATAATGATACTTATTGTTTGCCGCAAACATTTAAGTTTGAAATTTCTGGGTCAACAGGTATGATAGAGATTAGAGACTGGTTAGCTATCAGAATCTGTAATGATGGATCTGTGCATAAACAAAAGAGCGATAAACTAGCTTAGCATCACTAATCAGCAAAACCACCTCAACGTTTTGTTAGAAACTTTTTATTACTAATTCAAACATCATCTTAACTTATATAAACCTAGTAATGCAGATCCAGACACGAGTAAAGATGTCACACAGCCACCAGAATTAAACTACAGACATGATCCATTCCCCAGCAGTATAGCAGTGACTTCTCCCAGAGAGAAAATGAGAGCACTCTCTCAGCAAAACTAACTGAAGTTCTAGCTAGATAAATTCTCAGGTTATGAAAGGGACCTATAATCTCTCAAGTCACAAAAGGAAGATGCTGACCCTATAATCTCCTAAGCTTTTTGATTGAGACTACTCAAAAGAAATGAAAGTAAGATTTCATCAACCTAATTGGTCTGTAAAATGTCAATTTTAGATCTATTTAACATTGACGATCCTCTTCTTTTGCACTTCCCCTGAGGGGTTAATAGGGTACTTAAAGGAAACAAAATGGTAAAAGTGAACATGATAGTGTATTTTGACATTGCACTAGCTTTCTTAAGTATTCCTTTTTCCTTTCCTATTTCTTCAAGCCGATCAACCACTAAGAGATTTACCCTTCTGTTCTCTTTTTAAGTTTTTGGTTGCATCTGTTTCGCTCTTCATACGAGTAATTAACCCTAGTACAACCAGGTAATTCTCTATTTCACTCACACTACAGAGAGATTCTTCGTTTTAACAAATGCAGAGGTTGGCAATAGTTTGTGTAACTTCTTAAAGAGATTTTTATGCTGATTTCTGGAAATATATCGGTTGCACTTGCAGTCATGAGAAAGAATGAGAATAGGAGTAGCTAATGCCTTCCACAAAAAAGAGGTTGAACAAGCAATAGTCTCCCAGGCTAATGCATCCAGAAATACTACATTTACTTTTTATCATTTTCTTTAAGAATAATAAATAGTACTAACTATATGCCATGGCCCACCACCAATCGCTATTATCTTACATAGCTACAAAGGCGACATGCATAATTACAACTCTAATAGTAAATGAGGGTCAAAGTTCAGGCTTCCAATTGAGCAGTGAATAAAATCAATGAGTTGAAAGAGATAGGCCAATATATCAACCATTTATTTTTTTTTGATGACAAGGGAAACCTTCAACCGCTACCGTTGGGTGCGCAACCCCCGCTCCTATGCAATAGCTCGAAAACCACATAGAAGAGGTAATCCGCACTGGGCAAGCCCGGTATGACGAGCTCGACCCAGAAGGCAACCCCCTGCTTTTGTTGGCAAGAGGTTTCGAACTTGAGACCTCGAACATGGAGTTCCAAGCTCAAACCACTAGGCCATCCCGAAGGGTCAATATATCAAAAATTAGAGGTCAAACGTTTTGTGAGGATGAAGGTTCTAGAACGTAATGCCAGCTGTCAGTCACAACAATGTCAAGATATTAGTTAGCAGTTAGTTAAAAGTGTCAGTATTCTGTTAGAGGTGAGTGGAGTGAATCGATTAATGCATGCAATGTAAATGATACGAGAGAATGAAATAACAAGGAATCCAGTTCATTTTTTTTGCTTTCAGTTCCTTTTCTCTCTCTTAATTCTCCATAGCTACAGCTTCCGTTGAAGAAGACTGCAAAACTTTCTTAACACGTTTACACCTCTTCAAGCAAATCAAAACGCAATCTGGATACAGTAATAATATAATTGCTAAATGGAAAAGGAAGTGACAGAGATTGTAACTTAAAACATTTTGTTAAACAAAGCAGGCAGTAGCAGAACGCCGCGAGATTTCTACTTCTTAATTTCCTTCCCTTCCAACCAACCTGAGTCTTTTCATCTTTTTGACTACTCTTTAATTTCAATTTTCAACTGATATATTCGTACATTCCACATATTTTAAGTTTAACACAACAAGATTCGAAAACCAGAAATGCAGAAAGGAAGATGGAAACAAGAACCCTTTAGATAATCACTATATTGTAGCATGATTGTAATAATATAGAAGCAACAAAATCAATAATAGTAATATTTAATACATAGCTCAGAAATTTGGATAGATATGAATGAACACATATTTAGACTTCACATGCATTAAAGAAATACATACTTTTTCTCAGAACTTTTTCCTTCTGCTTTATCAACAGCCTTAGATTCCTCCAGGTCTTCTTCTTCCTCCGGGTCTTCTTCTTCTTCATCCTCCTCCGGGTCTTCTTCTTGATCGTTTTCTACTTCCATTTGTTCTTGGTTAATTTGATAGTAGCTTTCAAGGTAAAGATCAATTTGTTCTCGAATAAACACTTTTCTATCCGATAAATCGATATTGAAGTCCTCTTCGAGCTTTCGCCGGACGATATTGTTGGTGGTGGTATCGAGGTCTGCGGTGCTTAGAAACTCATGAATCCGGTCGACGAGCTCGCTGTCCGATACCATTTCCTCTGGTTTGAGAGAGAGAGAGAAAAAACAGAGAAAAGAGTGAAATGGCTACTTTTGGGGCTGAGGTGGAATAAAAGGGCAAAATCCCGTGGATTTTGTGGGGTAACCGTCTACACGTGGGTCTCGAGTAGCAACGAGAAGGGTATTTCTGGAACAATAATATGAATTTTTTCTGCACATGATTATTAAAAATAATTTGGTAAATCATTTTCGCGGCTCTAAATTGACAAATTACTTCTCTTGCCTAGTGTATTGGACTCAATAATTCACGTGTTAAAAAGCGACTGGCCGTTGCCTTTTTTTAATATGGCAAAATTATTCACCATAACAAACATTCTATATTAGGTATTACGGTGGTGATAGTTTAACTAAATTATAATTTACTGTGATAAATTTTTAATTTTTATTATTCGTTTAGTTTGTATAATTTACCTAATTTGTATATATACATATTAGTATATCGTTTAGTTTTTTATTATATAAATTAAAAATTTATATAATTCAATTTTTGATCGTATAAATTCGAATTTGTAGTATATATTTTTCTTAACTATTTATATAGGATTAATGAAAAATATAGTAAGTTATCATGTTTGTATATTAACAAGCGAAATATACAAATAAAGAATGAGAATTTCTAAATATATATATATATACTTGTCCTATTTATATATTAATAAATGAAATATCTAAAATCACAATAAACGAAAATATAGTTATAAAATATAATTATCAAAACTATAATATATAACTTTATTACGTTTGCTAATTCTGAAAATTATTTCTATTTAACTTTACCAAATGTAGCAGGAACTATGCCATAGGACAAATTTGGGCCTGCAGAACTGGACAGGGCTAGTTTTACGTATTTCGTTTTAAAGTTATTTTTATTAGGAAAAAAATATTTTTTAAAGTTATTTTTTTCATTAAGGAAAAGATTTCTTTTTGCAGGAAAATAGTTGACTTTTTGAAATCAAGGATTATCTTTCATATAGTGAAAGAATGAAAATCATGTTCCGTAGATTATATTCTATATAAAATTCCTAATTCCCTATCCTCTATGTAGGAATGACAAAATCAAGCTTAGTTTGTCCATTTTGTGCAATTCACTTAAGTCCGATTGGGTTATTGATCTGTTTAATTAAATTTAATTCATTTCAATTCAATCCATTAAAATTGGGTTGAAATGTAATCCAATTTAAATTATGAGAAATGAATAAATGACATATATATAATTGTTATGAAAAATTAGCAATATATGCTCATATATAAATAGCATATAATAGACCAAAAAAAAAAGCACAAATTAGCGCATATTAACCACGACATACTATTAGTTTTTCTTTTTTTTAAACTTTCTTGTGAAACTAACCACCACACACTATCCAATTCAATTAGCATGACTGGACATATAAATCTTTCACTACAATGGATACCTTTTCAAAAATTATATACTTTTATGTATCAAATCATTTATAATAGGTAAAAATTAACTAGATTATCTTTTATCACATGATTGGATTTTTATCATGTGGATGAACAATCATGTATACAATGCATTTATCTATACATATTTGTTTATTCATTCACTAAAAATGTAAACATCGAATCAAATAATCTTTTATCATTTGAATGAACAATTATGTATACAAAAATTCATGTATGCATACATGTGTATTCATTCACTTAAAATTCGTATACATTCCAGATTCTTCCTTTAGTGTGTAAATGAGAATTACACTTGGAAATGAAAATGTTCAATATTACACAAGTCAAAAATATTCAAAGTTAGACGATTCATCACTTTCTATAATCCTTCTCATTCTAGCAACCTCAACTGGAATAACTCTTTTCAACACCAATCGATTCACATTGTTTATCTTTAAAATTATCTTTGCTACGAATCGAATATTGCTAAGAACTTGCATGACTAAAATTTGAAGTTTTTGGTGGAGATTCAACAAAATCAGAATTTCTTTTTTCAAGAATAATTTTTGAAATATTTTTCTTAACCGTGACAATTAATTACTATCTCCTTAATTTTCATCCAAATATAAAAACTTTCAACTTGAAAAAAATAAAAGAATCACATAAAAATTTAAGAAAAATATAAAAACTGAAAACATACAAATCTTCTAGAGAAGATATAACATCAATTTTTAACACTTTTGTTTAAAAGGATTGAAGAAGAATGATCTAAATGTATGAAAAAAGAAGAGAAAAAAAGGGAACAATATCTATTGTATTGTGTGGTTACTATATCTATAATGTTTGTTTTGATTGTTACTTAAAATATATTGTACTGTATTCTTAAATTTCGTTGTTACGTAACAATGGAAAGCCCTATTTTATGGAACAACCAATTTGGTGTTTTTTCATTGTTACTTAATTTTTTTTTTCAATTATATCTTTACACAATATTTTAAAATACTATTTTATCCTTTACCTTAATTATTTAAATCTAGTCAAACCTCCTACCCTAGAATAATTAACGATATTTGAGTAAATTTATAAATTATAATATAGTACGATACAATCAAACCAAACAATTAAAATGTTACTAAACAATAAACAATACAGTCTAGCCAAACATTGTATCTACCATACAATACACTACAATACATTATAAAACAATGGGTAACAATGATCCAAATAACATGTTACTAATTTTAAATACAATTAATTTAAAACTAAAGTATTTCTCATATATTAACGTGGGCCATAAGGGCAAAATATGCCAATTTTAATTTTCAAAATTCTTTTTTGTTATAAAAAAAAAAGGCTATATATATATATATATATATATATATATATATATATATTGTCAATTAATTAACAGAGAGTACATGGTGTGTCATTTTTTCATGAGAAATCGGGTCAATATATTTTTCTAATTAATATATATTAGTATGTATAGTCATAATATAGAAAAAAAATTATTACCTACTAAAAAATTATAAAGAACAAAAAAATGCAATTAAAACTTAATAAGAATTGTGTCTGTTGAGTTGTGATCCACATTTCAGCTTCTTTCACCGCAGTTAACTTCAATCCAAATAGCTTTTAAACAGATTAATAATTCCTTTATTTATTAACTCAGTCGAAATTGATCTATCAAATTAAGGGTCCGTTTGGATGGGCTTAATAAAAACAACTTTAAAAAAATGCTTTTGAAAGTGCTGAAATTTATTTTAAAAATAAGCAGTTATGTGTTTGGATAAAAATGCTGAAGTTAAAAAAAAATTGTTGATGTGTTTGGCAAATAAGTGCTGATAAACAACTTTTTAAATTAAAATGTCTGAAATACCCTTAAAATTTGTTAACATAATAAAAGTTAATTAGTTTATATTTTACAGCAAAAAATAATTATATTTTGCTATCATCCACATATTTCTTTCTCATCACAAATTATTTATAAGAGGAATATAAACTTATTATAGATTTTAAAGATATATAATTTGAATAGATCAAAGAAAGATTTAAGATTTATTCTAGTTTCATCCATAGGTAATAATAATAATCTATCATTTATATATTTCTTTATTATCACAAATTATTTATAAAAGAAATATAAATTTTTATTTCACTTCAAATTGGAAGAACATGAAGAAGTCCAGCAGTTATGCCAAACGTGAAAGGGGAAAAATGGAAGAAAGAGATGTTAGGATTATGTGGGTAATTTGGAAATTGTATAAAAATATTAGGGACAAAAAGGTAAAAATGTGGTCAACTTAATATTTTTATACAATCTTCAAATTACCCATATAACCCTAACATCTCTTTCTTCTATTTTTCCCTTTTCACGTTTGGCATAAACTTTTATCCAAACACATAACTGCTTATTTTAAAAATAAGTTTCAGCACTTTCAAAAGTACTTTTTTAAAGCTACTTTTGTTAAGCCCATCCAAACGGGCTCTAAGTCCAATCACTTATTCAACACCTATGCCTATATATCGAACAACAACAAATAAAAAAATATATTATTTTTTTAAAAAAATTATTTTTTTCATAAAAGCATTTTCCTTTATATCTGAGCACCATCTAAGGAAGGAAAACAAGTACAATTATCTCGAATAAATTAAGAAGAAAGATATACTTCATTTGTAAGTGGATCTTATAATGACAAGTTAACGCCTATGACACGATTCACATTTCTTTCCATTTTCAAAAGAGTTTTTTGGTATTTAAAGTAAGAAGACCAGAGAGGAAATAAATTCAATTACCTGTTTTTGTTTAATTAGGACTTAGTCATAATGCAATTTGAATTATAACACAACTTGAGAAAATGTCAAAAGCAAATTGATTTCTTCCATCTTTTCCCAAAAAAATTAAAATAATTTGTAACGAAAAATATATTTTCTTGAGCAACAATTTGAAGCTACAACTTTTTTACTTCTCGAAAAGTAAAAATCCCAAGAACTTATATTAATCTAACTCTCTCTCATTAATTAAACTGATAAATCTCTCAAATATAACTTCAACTCTTTTCATCGATTTCTAATCGTTTTTTACTATAAAGAAAAATTAATGAAATATATGTTTTATATTTTTCTTATTTTTAATATCTTCTTCTATTTTTAAAAACCTCTAAAATTTCTTATTTCTTTAATATATTCGAGCTACATATTATGGATCGGATTGATTTTACAATGTACCTGAGTTATATATTACATATCCGAATTAGTTTTTAATGTATTCGCGCTACATATTATTTGTTCGATTTATGTTATAATGTTTTCAAAATACTCTTTAATGTATTCGGTTTGTGGTACTTTTCAAGGGGTTAATGTAATTACAAACTAAAGAGAGATAAACTGTAATTTCATATTAAAACTATGTGATTTCTAAAATTTATCCTATAAATAATACTCTCTCCGTTCCTATTTAGTCGTCTACTTTAGAAATAATACACATATTAAGATAATAATAACTAGTATAGTGAAGTTATAATTTTACTCTTATTAATTATGATTTCAAAGAGGATGATAATAGAAAATCTTTTTTTGTCATTTTTTGAATTATCAAAATGAACAAGTAAATTATTTTGTTTTATATCGTAATAAAATGGGAAAATTGTATATAATAGCAAGCTAATAACCTAAATTAAA